TATTATATATTAAAAATAAAGATTTTAATTATAGTTTTAATATAAATTAAAAAGACTATTTATAGTTTAATTAGTAAAAGTAATTTATAAGTAAATTAATTAAGAAAATTTAGTTTATAAAAAAAAGTTAATTTCTTAATTAAAAATAATATATTTTAAAAAATAAAGCTATTTACTTTATAATAATAATTTTAATAGTTAATTAACTCTTTTATATAAAATTACTCTTATATTATAACTAGTATTAGGTAATATATTCTTAGTAGACCTACCTACTAGTTGTGACGCGAGATGTCTTAACTAGGCTGCTTATAGGCCTTCTTACTACTTAACCCGACCTCTTAGAATCCGCCGCTGCAGCGTTCGTAACATAACCGTGCGGAGAAGCACAGCACGTACGCATTTAGCTACGTTATAATAACTGAGTAGTACTGTAATGCATGTGATAAATAATAGTCACTTAGTGTTGTTACCGTTAGAACCTTTACTTATATACCTATAGTCTATAAGTATATTAAATAATACATAGAAACGCTATTTAGCCTTTAAGCGTTTTGTAAGACACGAAATGGTGTTGAAGTGGAGAGCTCTTCTCTTTGTCGTGGATATAAGAGCCCCCTGAATGGTCCATTTTTCTAACTCAGGGTCACTCCACACTCGTTGAGGAGACAGCAGCACTAGGATAAGGTACAACGACTACAAAGCAGGTTCTATAGAGCTAACATTCATCGACTATATGTGCTACTACGCGGTCTCTTATATAGGATATAACATATACAGATTGCCACTATGACACTATGTATCTAATGCGAGAGTTATGAGGTTTGCTCATCTTCTCAATTTACAAAACAGAATATTCATATTTCATTTCTACAATTTATCTATGTCTCTATATAAGCGCAGCAGTCCGCGGGCACCTCCAGCACGCTCTAGTACCGGGAGCACTGCCTTACATTATGCCGCATGCCCTCTCAGAGGCACCACTGCTGGCAGGTCGCCCCGTCGGGGACGCAGATAGACTTGCAGTTGTTTCCACACCAGGTGCAGCTGCCGTGCTCGCGGGCGTAGCAGCTCCCGTCGCCGATGGTGCAGCGGCCGCCGAGGTGGACGCACTCGCGGCATCGCTTCTCCACGCCGAGCTGCTCGTGTGCCTTGAAATAATCAGGTTAATTTCTTCGCGGTCCTGCTTTTTAATGCTGGGGGATGCAATTTTTCTTTTGGACGGGGTAGATTGACGTACAACCTCGCGGACAAAGGTCATGCCATCGCGTTCAGTGATTTCGACGCCCATGGGTAGGTCAGAGGGGCTCGCCGCAACGCCGGAGATGGCGGCAAAGGCGACGGTAGCAACTGCAAAAAAGTTCGTCATCATTTTGGGCACTTATCGTTATGATGAGAAAGTAGAAGAAGAAGAAGAAGAAGAAGATGCTGTTGTCAAAATATGACGAGAAATGTTGTGGCTTTATACTTTGATCCAGCAACTGACTCTATGCACGTTGTTGGACATGACAGAGAAATCAGGCTGAACCTGAACCTCTCACTCCACTATTTATGCAGCGTGATACTGCACAGAGCTGCGGTAGGCTCAAGATGGCGGTTCAAGTAGGCACTCGGGCAACAGCAAGGCCATACCTGGCCAGCAAGGTT